TTTTTTTTTTTAGAATTTTAGTTTTTTAAAGTTTTGCTCTTATTTATTTAACTTTGTGGTGAAAACCAAGGTATCCCCCGCGCGATTGCGGGGACTAACCCTCGAGGTACTGTCAGGCGCAAAGCGGGGACCTCTCCCAACAAAGTCTGCTCTATTCGCAAGCGCCTGGGATCGAACCCAGGACCTTATTTAACTTTAAATTGTATTCAAATAGTTATTTTTTTAATTTAGTTTTTAAATGTTTTAACAAAAATTGAACGGAATTGACAACATTGGCTAATGATACTAAACACAGGGACTGAATTGACCAAATTGAAAACACATGGACTAAATTGGCCAACATAATAAAACACATGGACCATTTTTGCATTTAAGCCTTATTTATATTATTAATGTTAAGAATGGGTATAAGACTAAATACCTCTTTTATATCTCTTTTCTTTTTTCATTGCAAGCATCAAAGACTTGCTTTCGGGTATACTGATCCTATAATATTTAAAAAAAAATATCACATCCTTTTCTTTCCTCTTTTAATCTTAGCCGTCTGATTTTGTTAAAGTAAATTCAATGGCTGACAATATAAATTCAATGATGCATGGATATGCTCTTGTCTTGTGGAAGACTTCCATGGTCTAATGGTCCTGGAAGCTGAACTATGGGGGCTATCTTTCCGTCGAGGAAATTACTTCCTCTGAAGAAACATATATAAAATGAGATATCAAACCATTAAACACAGATAACAAGCAGACTGCAATATATTGTTGTTATACAAACTCCATATCCTTACTAACACTGGTAATAAAATCATTTATGGTGAAAGCAACGACGACATAAAAGACAAATGGCAATTTCTATTAATTGGTTCAAGAAATAAACTTGAAGGAGTGATCGCTCGTTTAGCAACCTTTGACGTACGGGTTTCTACATAGGATCGCATGCTTATTGTCTCTGAGAGGAGCGTTGCATGCTGGATACCTTTTTCTGTCACATGGAAAAACCGGGGGAAAATGTAACGTATTCATAGTATAAGAATTCGGTGACGACAGCATTCTGTTGCTAGTTTCGTAATTCGAATTATCCACCGGCATATGCTTCATGATCATATTCATCGGCTCCAACTCCAAGTCATCAACGCCCTCCTCCTCATCCTGTGGAATAATAAGCTGCTGGCAATATTGGTGGGTGCTACCATTAATGCACCAATTAGAGACGGAGGCGGTGCTGCTGCTGCTCTTGTTCATCAGGCAATGGCTTGTGCTGGGCAGCTGAGACATCATCGCCGTCGCCAGCATAATCACAAACACACCCACGACGACTGATGAACCCATTAATTCGCGGTGAATTGATTAGAGTGTTTTTCTTCTTCCTCTTATTTCTTGTAATGGATCCTCAACACTCTAGGACTATATATCCAATCCAAGAGTGGTACTCTTCTTCTTGGCCTAGCTAGGTGTTGTAATCAATCACTTATTTGGAAAATGCAAGTTGCCAGTTATACTTTGTATTTATTGTAGGGATAGTACAAAGCCACTTGAAAAGTTAAAAGCGACTAGCGAATATTGCACGTTCTATGGTTTCAGCTCAGCTTCAAGCATATATAGTCTCTTGGCCCCTTCCTCCTTGGATATGTAATATCTGTATATTGCCAGTACTCTCTACTTGTGCCCTGGTACCTACGTTTGTTCTCTACCTCTGCACTGCACAAACTTAAAACCACTCATTTATTTGGTTGGTCCATCCACATCGTGAATCTGCTTGTGCACAACTTAATTTAGTTCAATCATACACCTTATCACTATCCACATCATAAGTCTACTTGCGCACATATAATTCATCACCACACAAATTAATTTAGTTCAATCATACACCTTATCACTATCCACATCATGAGTCTGCTTGTGCACATATAATTCATCACCACACAAGTTAATTTAGTTCAATCATACACCTTATCACTATAGCAGCCCTACCACAAACATCGCACGTGATGGTGATGGCAGGCAATGACATCACCTCCACCATAACCACTAACACACATCTGCCTACCACTCCATTTCAATTATATACATTGATGTCCTTGAAAAAGATAAACATTAAATTATGTGTTTAAATCCCATCTTATTTTAGATGAGTAAAACAAATTTTTTTATAAATTCTATACAACGTTAAGGAATTAGAGGCGAAGTCATATTATAGAAAGATGTTGCTTGTTTGATATATGAGTTCGCATCTAATCCCTTAATGTTGTATAGAGTTTGTGTTTACATTTGACATGACAGAATTGCGACTATACTTGGAAGTTTAATTAATGAATTTACTGAATATAAGAAACAACCAAATTACTTAATTGTAAGGCATTAAGTAAGGCATGCACGTAATTGTATAATATAGTAACTTGGATTGAAGAGGTTCCTTCTGGCTGGAGACAATTGTATAAGATGATATTGTTGTATCGTCTTAATTGTTATCAATGATTTCCTCTTTCACCCAAAAAAAAAAAACCAGCCAAATTACAAGCTCGATCAAAAGAAAAAGGACAAGCTGAGTTGAGATGGTTGGTAACATATATACATATTTTTATTTATTTATTCTCATACTAGCTAATACAAATAAATATCATAGTCCAGGCCCTAGCTAATACTCTTATTTTTATTTATTTATTTATTCTCATACTAGCTAATACAAATAAATATCATAGTCCAGGCCCTAGCCTGTGATTGTTCTGACTAAAAATGTTGATCATCAATCATCATCTCCCATCGGAATCGTCGATCCCAGAAAACACTATCCTCGACATCCCTTTAATTGAGTCGTTAGTTGTAGAGTTTTGCTCGCTACTTGTTTTGGTCAGCCCGCTGTTCAACGTCTCTCCTTCCCAACTACGACTAGTAGTAAACCCTGTAGAATGATTATCATTCATCAACGCAACCTCATCTTCACCCTTGTTTTCAAGGTCTAAATCTTTCTCTCTCTCCTCTCTTTGATGAAGTTGCATTGCATACTCCAGCCCCCACACCACGTCATTCATCGACGGCCGTTCGATCCCATTATCATGCATACAACTTATCGCCATCTCAACAAACTTATTCAAGCACGCGTTTCCAATCTTACCCTTGAGGCTCGGGTCAATGATTTGATCAAGTGTCCCTTTGCGATGACAGCTCTTGACCCACTCGGCTAAACTCATTTGCTTCTTCTCCACGGTTCGTAATAAAGCCGGCCTCGCACATAACACCTCACACAACACCACGCCAAACGAGTACACATCAGACTTCTCAGTCAACTGGTTACGACGGTAGTATTCTGGGTCTAAATACCCGAAACTACCCTTCACCATCGTGCTGATGTGGGTCTTGGACATGGTGATGGTTCCCATTTTTGAAAGCCCAAAATCCGAGACTTTAGTCACCCATTTCTCATCCAATAAGATGTTGGTGCTCTTTACATCACGATGGATGATAGTGTAGTGCGCACCCGTGTGAAGATAGTGCAACCCTCGAGCTGCACCGATACAAATTTGGACCCGTTGATCCCAAGATAGAGATGGATTATCTGTGTGGTAGAGGTGGTCACAAAGGGTCCCACGTGCCATGTAATCATAGACCAAGATCATCTCACCATCGTCTGTACAGTATCCTACGAGAGACACCAAATGCTGGTGGCGAAGTTGTGAAAGCATTTGGATCTCCGTCTGGAATTCGTGGGCCCCCTGTGATGACTCGGGTTTCAGCCGTTTTATCGCAACGGGGGTCGCCCCATCGTCAAGGTATCCTTTATACACGTTACCAAACCCGCCACGCCCAATAATACAAATATCGCTGAAGTTACGGGTGGCGGCTTTAATCTCCGACAAGGAAAAGTAGTGACACAAATCGGACGGTAAGGATGAGCGCCGGCTCTTGGTTGAGTTGGTCGCTTTGCGAGTGGAGAGATCATTGTCATTCAGTTTCTGTCGTCGCCTGAAACCTAAGAATAACCCTAGAACAGAGAGCAGTGCGATTGTGGTGGAAACTACGCCAGCAACAATGGCAAGCAAAGGAGTACTCCTTGACTTAGGTTTTTCTGGGCCTGCCGACGGCGTCGTATTTTCTGGGTCCATAGGAGGTGGATCGGGGTTGGGTCCCGCGAGATTGCCGTCTGAGTTGTTGAGTTTGAAGATTTCCAGACCATTCAACATTGCATCGCTGATTTTAGTACCAAAACCATTTGGCTTTCCCTGCAGTGCAATGACGAGATTCACTCTCTTCTTGCTTCCTGCGGAGCCTGTAGGCTGTATGAACACCAAGTAGTCTCTGTATGTTGGAATCCCATTCCCACCAGCCCACATGATTATGTCCGCTCTTTTTTCAGCCTCTAGATTATCCATGTAAATTAGAAACACTTGATATCCCACTACCATAACTTCAGGTTGAAACTCACAAAAATGAAGCCTAACTAGGTAACGAAAATTGGAATCAACAGGAAATTGCCATGTAAGGTTGTAGCTCTTGTTTATGGTTGTGTTTTTGCCCATTGCTCGAGCGGTTTGGTAAACTTCTTTTGGAGCAGAGTACTGTGGTTTTGTGGTAAAACGGAGTTGAATACTAACATTTTGTGGCAAAACACTATACTTAGAACTTAACACCTCCAAGTACCTTTCCTCGTATGTATAAGAATACCAATAGCGGTACATGCCGGTGTCTTTAACAAAAGAGACCTCACTTCCGCCCACGTTGATTCGATAAACCGTCTCCAGAACTGTGCTGTTTTCAATGCGAAAGTCGTTGTTTTCACTGCCTACAAATTGAATCCCATCTGTTGTGTAGTAAAGGTTGGTAGGCATGGACACAATTTCAATTCCGTTGATAAATGCATACGCATCTGCGATTGCGCTGCTCGGAGTGAACGTGATGCTTATACTCTGTTCTTCTTCTTCCTCCCCAATGTTCATACAGAATTCTCTGTATACCGTCTCCTCCTCCAGCCTAGAAGCAGCAGCAGTGACTGACGCATTGAAGTCGTGGAGAAGGGTAAAACCAGCGGCTTTGACAGAGAAGAGGGCTTTGGAGGAATCAAAGTCGGGGTATGAAGCTGGGTAGAAATACAGACGGACGAACTTTTGGCCGGGGGTGAGGTGAAAAAATCTGTAGGTAAATTCAGAGTAAGAAAGCCTCGCTGTGGCGTAAGGCACTCGTTGGACGGTGTACGAATGAGGTGCTTCTTTGCATATGGATGTGTTGCCAACTGCTTGGGGTTCAAGGGGTGAAAATTTTGGGTTGATATCTCCACTCCAACTTCGGTTATCATATTCATTGAATGTGTTGTCAGAAGAGCCACAATTGACGGTGATATCTTCGACTGGCTTATAGATAGGTGGCGAATCGCCGGCAACGAATATGGTGACAACGATCATGTGCAGAAACAAGGAAAAGTAGAGATGAGTGCTGAGAATTGGTTGTATCATGGTAATTGTATCAAGGTGTTTGTTTGATGCTTGGGTTATTATATACATGTTCATGATACATGTATATATATATATACATAGGGAGAGTTAAAGATATGTTATGTGTGGGTGTGTGGATCTCTTATTGGAATTTCTATTGCCACAAGTGGGGACGTACGCATATGATCATCAAAGACTTTTCCAAGTCAAGCTTTTGGCTGTGTCTACTCTAAATTCAAGATTCTTGATCAACATCAGTCAAATTTAGTAGAGACTTTGATAACAACTTAAACTTCTTTTTTGGGTTGGCCGTGGACTTGATGAATTAACAAGTCTTTGGATTACAATTTGTAAAAAATAATAAGATAACAGACTGGGGACTGTAATGTACACGTTGTCTTATTTTCAAGCACGCGCCCATCCAAAACGTGCCTAGTTAGTATTCTTGAGACATAATCTTGTCCAAATTAATCTGTTTGCAAAGTACCAATTAAGCACTTGTACACGACAAAGAAACAGAAAAGCATTTGCATACAGATCCACAAGGATGGTATTCCCATATATATACTTGGAAAAAAATGCACTCATTTCAAACTTTTATTTTTGTTGGCCTAAAATCGCAAGTTATGGTTGGTAAGAATAAGTTATCCTACGAAATTGCACATAATGGTTGATAATTTGAAATCCAAACTAGTGCATTGCAAAATATAATTAATCATATATTTATTCAACGGACCAAAAAAAAAAAAAGTTCAATTCATATTCAACTATATAACAAATGCTGATTTTGTTCAAATTGATCTATTTGCCAGAAGCAATTAAATCCCTAGTAGCCATCCACCCCATTGGCGTCAGCCTCCCTTCCCAACTCCAATTCACCACACGTGTAGCATCGTGTGAGGATAAGAATTATCTAATATTGGAAAATTGAACAATCTTCTAAAGACTTATAAGGGGTTGGGTCACTATCCCCACTATCAATTGGTTCAAAATTCCAACCCCACAACCAATTTGCAATAGTTGGAAGTTGTGGAGTGCAAAAGCACTTTAGTAAAGAGATAATGCACTGCGGGTTTATCCATCATTCTCACTCTGCTGCACTTTCCATATCTCGTCATTGATGACGTGGGTAGAGAGACTCAGAGATAGAAAGGTGAAAAGGTTGAGAAGTTTCTCTGGTGGAGCTTGAGATAACAACAAAGTGGGAATTGTAATAATTGTACCCTCCTGTGTTGTCTTGATTAGTAGAAAAGTCTGCGACCAGCTGATGCTATCAGCCTCGGATGACTAGGGACAGATGACTTGCAAAGTCTTTGTCTTAGATATATAAAAGACTAAGAGAGAAGACTTTGATTTGATGGTGTTTGATTTAATTCGAATTTGGAATGGAATACATGTATAGTTGCACTTGATTTGTTGGGAATTTGATTTTTTAGTTCTTTTTTATTGAATTCAAATAGGAGGCATTTCCTTATTTGCATTGTAAACTTAAGTAAATAGAGTAATATAAAAATAAATTAAAGTAAAAGTACAAGACATTTTCTTAGAGATTTTCTATTTAAACCTCGCACTTCTCTTTCTTTACCCGAATACTTAAATCATTAAGCTGTAAGTTTTACTATTATGTAAAAAGATAAAAAAGGTCATCCAACTTAATGCTTAACCCTAGTACATCTATACACACATTCCACCACTCTTCATATTAAGTTTTAGAAAAATACAAACTCCTCTACATTTTATTGCCAGATTACTCATTTTTAAAGACGTAAAAAGTTGAGGAACCTACCTCTTTAAAAATCTTTATTTGGTCTAGGATCTCTTTTCATTGACAGTAAACGATATACTGTAATAGTTAGCGAGTTTGTCTGTCTTGCGACAAGCACAAGAACCTTCATCTTCTTCTAAAAAAATAGGGGCCATCTTCATCTTTTCCCCCCACTATTCAATTTAGATATATGTTTTTTTTCTTTCTATAGTTTGTAATAGGAAGATAGTGGGATTTAAATAGAAAAACTCTTTTATTTATTTATTTTCCAACTTGGGGTGTAATTAAGGGTAGTTTGGGAAGATAGTGAGGTTTTCTTAGAAATTATGAAAATTTAAATTAAAAGTTGGGGTGAACTTAAAACATGGGGTGAACAAAGAGAAATGCGGGGTTTAAATAGAAAATCTATTTACTTCAATATTTAGAATGAAAATAAGGCAATATAAGGGGAAATAAAAAAACAAGAAGGTAATAAGCAGGCTTACTTGGGCCGGAACATGGGCAAATCTTATCAGGTTAGGCCGAGGGTTGGTCGAAGGTTTCAAAACCTAAGACTAAGCGCTACCCAACCTTAAAACGGGTCGGGTTGAGCGGGTCTAACCATCGGGCCAAACTTGACTTTGGCCCATCAAGCCTCGAGCTACCTACTTCGACTCGCGGGCAAATGATGACCCCTTGCATTGTCCATGTATAGTTGCAACCAAATAATTTCAAGCATATGCATTTCATCCTCTAGGTGAGTAGCTAATATTGTTGCCCAAGTTGCACTTTCATCAAACTGTTTTTTTCTTTGTGTGTGTGGTCGTAATGCACTTCCAACTTAATTTTTGTTTGTGTTGATGTGAAATTGTAAGTTGCAATTACCATTCTCAATGATGATCACTATCAATTCGAACATTTGTCATGTTGATGCCCTGTTTTTATCAGTTGGCTACTGAAAATGGAGGATTGAGAAGACAAGACTACGCTTATTCAAATTTAGATTATTTTATTTGTTAATAACGATGCTCACTTTATATAATGTCACAATACTATCACACAAATACATTAATGTTTTGTACAAATTTTTAAAAAAGAAAAAGAAAAAGAAAAAGAAAAAAGAAAAACACCAATTGCAAGAAAGTTTTAAGTTCACGGAATTTAAGAAACAACAAAGTTACAAATTGAGTTGCAAATTGTAGCATATATATTATCATACATATACATGAATTCCATTACAAATTGTTGGGCAATCATCTTCCATTGGGATCGTTAATCTCAGAGAAGACTGTCCCAGACATTCCTTTCATGGACTCGTTGGTTGAAGAATTGTGATCGCTACTACTGTTGGTCACCCTACTAACCTTCAACTCCGATGACGAGTCTTCCCAGCTACAACTAAACCCTGCATCACTTGCAGCATTCATTAACGACTCCTCATCTTCACCCTTCTTCTCCTCGCTCAAATTCAAAACTCTTCCTCCGCTCTGTTGAAGCTGCAATGCAAACTCAAGCCCCCACACCACGTCGTTCATCGACGGCCGTTCAATCCCATTATCTTGGAGGCAGCTCACCGCGATCTCAACGTACTTATTCAAACACGCATTTCCAATCTTACCCCTCAAGCTCGGATCAATGATTTGATCAATTTTCCCATTTCGATGACAGATTTTGGTCCACTCAGCCAAGCTCATTTGCTTCTTCTCCACCGTACGGATCAAAGCCGGCCTCGCGCACAATACCTCACACAACACTACCCCAAATGAGTACACATCAGACTTCTCCGTCAGCTGTTGACGGCGATAGTATTCTGGGTCCAAATACCCGAAACTACCCTTCACCACCGTGCTGATATGGGTCTTGGACACGGTGGTGGAGCCCATTTTTGAAAGCCCGAAATCTGAAACCTTAGCCACCCATTTCTCGTCCAATAAGATGTTCGTGCTCTTCACGTCACGGTGAATGATCGTGTACTTCGCGCCCGTGTGAAGATAGTGCAGCCCACGTGCCGCGCCAATACAAATCTGGAGCCTTTGATCCCATGCAAGAGGTGGATTATCAGTGTGATAGAGATGGTCGCGGAGGGTCCCACGTGCCATGTAATCATACACCAAGATCATCTCGCCTTCATCCGTACAATACCCGATGAGCGGCACCAAATGGTTGTGGCGGAGCTGCGAAAGCATCTCGATCTCCGTCTTGAACTCGAGAGCCCCTTGCGATGACTCTGGTTTCAGCCGTTTGATCGCAACGGAGGTGGCGCCACCGTCAAAGTTGATGTTCCCTTTGTACACGTGGCCGAACCCACCAACGCCAATAATGAAAACACTATTGAAGTTTTGGGTGGCGGCTTTGATCTCTGCTAGTGAGAAGTAACGACACAGATCCGACGGTAGAGACGAGCTGCGAGTCTTGGTTGACTTGTTCGTCGAAAAAGAAAATGGACCCCACTTTGTTCCGTGGCTGGAGCTTGAGTCCTTGACTTTTCCTCCTCGCCTGAAACCCAAGAAAATTCCGAGAAAGCTGTTTGATTGGCGATGAAGATCTGAAACTGTCGGTCTCTGGGCTTGGTAATATCAGGTCCAAACTCACAAAAATGAAGCCTAAGCAGGTACAAAAACTTGGGATCGACAGGGAACTCCCAGGTGAGATTATAGCTCTTGTTTATGGTCTTGTTTATGCCCATTGACCGGCCAGTTCGGTAAAGTTCTTCTGGACCAGAGTACTTCGCTATTTCAGTAAAGTTGAGTTCAATGCTACTATTTTGCGGTAAAACACTAAACTTTAAACTTAAATTGTCTAAGTACTTGTTCTCATCTTGCTCGCCGTACCAGTTTCGGTACATACCAGTGTCCTGATTGAAAAACAGTGATCTTCCACCGACGTTGAATCGGTACACCATCTCCAGCGCAGTGCCGTTTTCGATCGGAAATGTGTTTTCGCTGCCTATATAATTAACTCCATCTGAATTTTGAGCAGAGGTGTAGTAAAGATTGTTGGGCACGGACACAATTTCAATTCCGTTGATAAACGCATACGCATCTGAAGTTGCTCTGCTTGGGTTGAAGGTGATGTTCAAGCTCTGTTCTGACTCAACGTTGAGGCAGAATTCTCTGTATATTGTAGCAGACCCAGAAGCATCGGCAGTGACTGAAGAGTTGAAGTCTTTGAGAAGGGTGAAGCCACCGGCTTTGACTGAGAAGAGGGCTTCGGATCGGTCGAAGTCAGGGCCATATGAAGCTGGGTTGAAATACAAACGAATGAACTTTGGGCCGGTGGTGACTGGAAATCTGTATGTAAATTCAGAGCGAGAAAGCCTCACAGTGCGGTAAGGTACTTGGCTTTCAGAGGAGGAAGAAGGTGCTTGTCTGGATATGGAGGGGCTGCCAGCTGCTTGGTTTTCAAAGGGGGAAAACTTTGAGTTGATATCTCCAGTCCAAGTTCTGGTGTCGTCTGGATTGAGTTTGTCGCCGGAAAAGCCACATTGAAGGGTAATATCATCGACCGGAGTGTAGATAGGAGAAGTGTCACCGGCCACGTGCAAGGTGATGATGTGCAGAAACAGGGGAAGGAACAGAGGAGTGAGAAAGGGTTTCATGGTTATTGATTTATGAAGGTGTTTGCTGCTTGGATTCTTCATGATTGTAACAGAAACAAAGGAAGCTGCTGTTTATTATTGTAAGCATAACAGAACTTGCCTGTTTAATTAATTTCTAATTGGAAATGGAAATTCTAACGATGCTGTGTTCTATACTAATATCCCCTGGAGAGTAGTTGACGGGGGTGGTAGACTGACTATACAGAATTTGTACATAGATTAACTAGAGATGTGAAAGAAAAATATACTAGGAACACAAAACACTACAATCGATTGAAATAAAATTGATTGGGTAGAGGAATATCTTTGAGAGATATTATTGTGGAACTTGGTTGTGTGTAGGAATTGGTTTCAAACTAATATAACAAATAAAAATCCCCAACAATTGGGTTTCGATAGGGTAATTACCTTTGCTTTGCATGTAATTTGGGAAGTGTTAAACCTTTGAAGTTTAGGGATGCCAATGATTTTCCTAATAACAAATTTTGTTTTCTGTAATTTTACTTAATTTTCCAAGGTTTTTCATTTTCTCTGAACTGAAAAGTATAAAATGTTGTTGATATAAACGCCCTTCTTATTTCGTTTGAATTGAACCTTATTTTCTTAATTAAACTGGGCTTGAGATCTTGGAGTTGGAGGGTGGATCTTCTTCTCCTTGCGGTTCTTGTAAGGCAGCCGTCGTGAGAAGATAGAGACTTGAGTTAGTTACTTGACAACGGAATAGCTATCTCGTTTGATATTTTCCATGATTTCAGTGAAATGACACAGAAGGATTTTAGTTTTAGACTCGACCCCCTCGCATTTGCATGCTCGCTTGCTTCTTCATGTTTGAATGTTTCATGATTTCACGTGCAGGATGTAGCCAGGAAAAAAAGTTAAAGAAAGACAAAAAACAAACAGCATGAACCCTCTCACTAGGGGTAGACATTGGAACCGAAAAATCCATTACTAGGAGCATTGGGCATGAAAATTCTCTTATGAAACATGATGCAACATATTTACCATCAGGGACTAACCTGGGCTATAGCCCAAGTGAGTTTATATTTTGCTAATAGAACTCCTCACTCTGAAAAAAGATAAGTCAAACCAATCAGTCAGCAAAGAATACGAATAGAATTTGAATGCAACCCCTTTGCAACACTTCAACAACATAGAATATTTTCCAGTTACCCAAAAAGAGATGCATATTTTTGTGAGAAATTGCGTGGTTTGTAAAAGAAATTTGTTTTTGTTTTCTTTTCTGAAAAGCACAACTTGACCAAAACGTCCAATGATTTTAATCAGCTAAGCTAGTCTTCTAACTGTCGTTACATTATTGTTTGCATGCACAACTTGGCTTGCTTTTGGGTATACTGATCCTATACTACAAAAACATATCACATCCTTTTCTTTCCTCTTTTAATCTTAGCCGTCTGATTTTGTTAAAATAAATTCAATGGCTGACAATATAATTTCTTTTTCATCATGTATGGTATGGGGTTAATGTTAATGCAAAGCCAAAGAAAATGAGTTTAAACTCACAAATAATAACACAAGTCCTCACAATTTGCCTTTGCCAGCAGCAGCAGCTCCACCTCCACGTCGTTCATAGAAGAACATTTAAAATTCACCAACTTTGGATCTCCTATTTTGCTATTCCCCCAAGTCGTTCATTGCCTTAAAATTCATTGCAGCAGAGTAAAATGTAAGGAATGAAGGAACAAGAAGAACCAACAAGTTAAATTTTCATCTGGAAGGTATACGGAATCAGGGCACAATGCAGTCCTGATGGTAGTAATGGCAACAGGGTAAGCTCCTGACCTTATCCTCCGACGCAATGTCAATTTTCTATGTCTTTAAAAAAGATGAGTAATTTGGCAATAGGATGTAGATGAGTTTGTATTTTTCTAAAACTTGATATGAAGAGTGGTGGGGTGTGTGGGATGTAGGATGTGTGTATAGATGTACTAGGGTTAATTATTAAGTTGGATGACCTTTTTTGTCTTTTTACACAATAATAAAACTTA